ACCCCCCAGAATCCCCCAGCCAGCGAATGCTGGCTGGGGAATTCTGGGAGTTGAAGTCCGGACATCTTCAAGTTGCCAAGGTTGAGAAGCACTGCTCTATGAGGCTACTCTGGAAGGTTTACAACAGTAGAACACATTAGAAAAAATGTAAATATAATAATACTAAATCACTGAAGCAATAAAAATAATGAAAATACAAGATGGGCAGGTAGCGGGCAGGATATGCATGGGGCAGTTCTCAGTCCAATAACTCCCCCATGGGGTTGGTCCCCAGGCCAACTGGCAGAGCAGGCCTTCAGGCCCTTACGGAAGGACAGGAGGGTGGAGGCAGATCTCACCCTAGGAGGCAGGATGTTCCAGAGGGCAGTGCTACGGCAGAGGAAAGCTCTCCTCCTGGATCCCACCAGACTGAATTCCTTTACCAATGGGATTGGCAGTAGGCCTCCTCTGCCAGCACCAATAGGACGGGCCTTCCTTGAGGGATGAGACGCTTCATCGAGCAACCCGGACCCCTGCCATGGAGCGCTTTAAAGGCCCTAACCAACTCCTTGGAAGACTTCCTGATAAGTATGCCGATCCCGTGAAGATGGTTCCATGCAGCAAATGGAAGGGCTAGCAGTTGGTCAACGTACCTTTTGAGTTTTCATGGCTGCTCTGTGGCTGTGCAGGACACGACGCTAAAGGAGTCAGGTGCGGATCCACGCACAGCGAGGTGCAGAGGTTTTTAATGATTTTCGAATTGGGGCAGGGAGATCTTGCGATGCATTGCTGAAGCAGTTTCGCTATGCATAGAGCTGAGTAATTTTGTACCAGCGTGTTTTCTTCTTTCTTCACAGCCTCCATCAAAGGCTTTATCACCGGGTTTATTTTTTCTGGAAGCTGCTCCAAATTGACCACAGCGCAAGCAGTGAATGTGTGCACTCTCAGCTGTAGCGTTTGCCATTCCAGGTTCGTTTCTGTGACTGTCATTTGAACTTGCTGCCGCTTGCTATCTAATTGCTGTAAAACTTGGGGGTTCAGGTTTGGAGATGAAGTAGCTTCATTGAAAACAGTAGTAACCTTAATTTTAAAAAAGTAAAAAAATAATAATAATTACTATTTTGTGACATTGGAGGCTTTTAAAATCACTGGAAGCTGGGACAAACCCATGTTTATTTTTACAGATGTTGGTCTCTGTGCTCAAAGTAATCAAAAATGAACACGAAAAACACAAAATAAAACTACACTTACCAGATTGAAAAGAATTGTAGGAAGAATATTTACACATTCATGCAATGCTCCAGATAGTTTTTTTTTTTTAAATCACCATTTTAAAAATTTTATTTAATCAAGTAACTTCTGTAAATGTGTTTTTATTTTTTCCATTTTCATTTTTGTACAGTCACATATATACTGTGCATAACCGGGGCCATATAACATTAAACAATAAACACAGCCATTCCTCTTGTCAATAATACCCCCCAAAATAGAAACCCAATGTACCTCTTCGACCCTCCATATACCCTTTCTTTCGCCCCCCTAATCAAGTGACTTCTGGCTTGCAACCGTTGTAATTCAATTTATAAAGTACAAATAGTCAAAAACTATTATACAAAGGAAAAACAAAACAAGTTAACAAATTACTCTTAAACTACATGCAATGCTGTATGGAAAGTGTAACCCCGTAAGTAACTAAATTTGGAAAATCCAGAGCGATGGAAAGTCCTTGAATCTAAAGCTACTTGTGTCTTGCAACAGCCTCCAGGCATCAGGAAAAGTTGTTAAACAATAACAACAACACCCGACCTCTTTGGCCTAGAATTGTGATATACAGCTGGGTATCCTTTATGTATTGATGATATATCACACCACCATGTGGATGGATGACTTTGTTCAGCAATTTCATATGGAATTTAAATAGAAATGAGGTGAGTATTAAAACTGAGGACATTCCCCCCCTCCCCCCCCAAGCAAGACCCTGGGTTTTTCTCTCCTCCACATCAAGGCAGACTAAAACCAGGCATGGAGAAAGGAGAACCCATGAAACAGGGGGTGCCCCCAATAAACTGCAAATCAATACAGGTTTAGCTCAGCCTTGGTGTTTGTAATTTTGGAATTTAAAAGAATTTTGTTACATTAACAACATACGTTTTTCTCGGTTCATTGCACAGCCTTCTGTAACATCTTACCGAACCCAAAGCTTTTGAGATCTCAACAGTTCACATGCTGGGAAAGGTATGATGAGTATCTTATAAACTGAACCATATTTGTCAGCTATGGTAAATAACTGGATATTCTTATAACGTCCTTCTTACTGCCACGCAGAAGGGCATTTTCATTGAGCAAGAATCCGGCCCTTGCCCTTTATAATGATAATGGAAAACTAGAATAATATTCCTCACCAGGATCATCTTTGTATTTGGCTCAAATACTGAAGATGAATCTGTGATTCATGCTATAAAAATATTCTTTATCTTACATTTGACATTTTAACTCACTGTCCTGGCTTGTCTGCAGATCTTCAGATCCTTCCCAACCAGGAATTATAAAACAGCTATTTTAGGATTAGTTGACTGACATATCTAGGAAGACAATGAAACTCCTAGCTGTTGCTATTACTATTTGAAGGTATGTCCTACAGCTAAGAATGTCCAGACTCCATGTCGCATTTATCATCATGAAGTTTCTTCTTTCCACCAAGACTTGCATATAATGTTTTATTATTATTCTCTTATGAGAAGATATTGAGTTAAATCCATCGGTAGTTGTGCTAATTTCTTTCTTAGGGATGCAGTAAAGATAATTAAAAAACACCCTAGTGGCCTCCCAGCTTCCAGTATCCGTTCACTCTGTATTCAAAGCCATTAAGACATAAAGTAGACCCAGGACAATTGCACCATCAGCATCCCAGTCCTACCAAAAATAATTTGTTGCAAGAAATGGCAACAAGGAGAGAGGAATTAATTAGCATTAATATTTTTTAAACTCATAAATGCATTTAATCTCATGCATCTAGAAGAGCTGAGAGGAAAGCTACACATTTATAGTTAAATGGAGCATATTGTCCAAAGATAATTTGAGCATGCAGAGAAATCATATGGATATCAGGTGTGAAGACAAAATTGCTTCACGATTGATAAGAAAGACAATCAACCTGAGGAAACAGGTGCATTTTTGTAAGTATAAGGATCCTGGAGTAACCTTCTTTGAAACGCAACAGTGAGTGACATCAAGATTCAGATGGTTATTCTGACTCTAATGAGCTAACCAAATACTTAAATGTGGCTCTTGTGAAGAGTAGTGGTAATGATAATGCCACTTATCATCACTATGTATAATGGGCTTTTACGTATCTCCAGAGAGATTTACTCTTCTTTTTTTCAATGCCCCTCCAGAAACCTCTTATATCACGTCATCTCCTGGAACCTCTTGAAAACCAGCTCGAGAATTGGGATACTGAGAGAAGGCAATCCAATCTTCCCCTCAGTCTGAGTGTTGACTTAAGACCTTGACTGGGCTAATGGCCAGAGACTCATGAAACTTCCAAAAAGCCTCCTGGGAACCAAATGAATCCTCTGCGTACTCATGTGATTTGACAATTTCAGTGGGGATATAAACTGCTCAATACACTGGTCAAGATTTTTCCCTGGGCTGCACAGTGCTTCAGAAAGGAGCTTAGGAACTGGTGATGTATGAATGTAGCACTTAACTGCAACTCTTTAAAGTAGGATTGTTTCACATGGTTTTTGTTGTTGTTGTTCTATATCCTATAAAATTTTATATCAAAGAAACTCTATTAGAAAAAAAAGCCTTTGGATTCAGAGAAGATTATTGATTTTATAGGTATGCTAGTATTATGTTTAATATTTAGAGTAAGATCTAAGAACAGACACTTCTGAGTGCCACCTAGATTATTTCTGCAATCCACCAACAGAATGGAAACCACTCCTTGGGCATTCCTTTCACTATTAGACATAAACATAAAATACGAATGGAAAATTTACACAGCAGAATGTTAGTGTCCTACACTATTTGTAATTGAGAACATTCCCCCCTTTAATTCCTCACTCAGGAATGGAATACAGGCTCCATAACCATATTTTAAAGCAGAATAGTCACAATCTGAACTTCTTAGGTCCACTCTTACATTTCTACATGAAAAATGATTTTATAACAGAAGCATCAATAGCTGCAGTAGCTTATTTAAAAAAAAAACAACTGCTTGCTTGCCTGTCCTCTTTTCACTCTTTAAGAGAGGCTGTAACTATCAACTGGATCATCTGTACTAAAAATAGACCGCATCTTATTTTGCTCATCTGTATCACTGCTATCAAAATCAGGACTTTCATTATGGCTGATAGTCACATCCCCTGTAGGAGATCACTTTGCATCTCAACGTTTCCCTTCTCATTTCCAAGGTAGAAACAGATGCTTTTCATCATAGGTTAAAAGGAGAAGAGGCCATACAGTTCGGGAGCTGCTTGCTGAACCACAAGATAGGGTGAAATGGGGGGTGAAGGGGGGGCACAAATGGGTAGAGCTGGGGGTGGGGGAGACAGGAAGGTGGGTTAGTTAGCCCCTTACCTTACCAGGAATCAGGTCTGTGAGGGGCCAAGACTGGAATGACTTGGACTGGGATGAGCCCTTAACTAATGACCAATAAAATTTACTTAATGACAGCTAATTGTCGGGATTGCAAAATAATGTGGCCGCACGACATGTTGCTTTACAACTGCAACACTTAGTGACCCAAATTGCAGCCCTGAACTGTGGCTGTCAGCTGAGGTCTACCTGCATGCAAAAAGAGCTATTTTTGAGGATTGACAAGTGCCAGCCTCTGCTTCGCTACTTGCTTTCGGCCGCCACTGAAACGGGGAGTGGGAGGCGTGGTATTTGGGGGGGAGGGGGGGAGTTTTAAGTACAGGAGTGATTGTAAAAAGGGAGTTTTGTTCTCACCATCTACTGTGCATGCCACAGATAGTGGATTTGCCCGCCAAGGCCAACTGTCCGGCATACCAACCTGATGATGCTTTTCGAAGATGACACCCACATGACACCTGAGGGATGTGCGGATTGGACTACGGGATGGGGTTACCAGGGGGGAGGGAGTTGGGTCACATATTGATATCTATGATTACGCGCGCTTTTGCCTCAGATCTTGCTTTGC